CATTCCGTCCATGCCTCCGTTAATGTCTCTCTCCGTTATCTTTTTCTTCTTCTTTCTTGTTTCTTTCTCTCTTTCTTCTTTTTCTCTCTTTCTTACACCAGCCCCCCCACACCTTCCCAATCCCCATTAGAGACCAGCGCCCCCCTTCCTCCTCATTTTTTTACAAAGAGTCTAGTAGTATATTTTTTTAGAAAAATAGCAATACTTATTATTATTATTATTATTATTATTATTATTATTTCATACGGAGTATTTATTATTATTTTCATTGTATTCTATTATTATTATTATTATAAACTGCTCCATATTATTTTTATTTATTTTTATACTATTATTATTAAAATTAATTATTAGAAAAATAGCATTGATTTTTTTAGGAAAATAGCACTTATTATAAAAAACACTTATTATAAATAGTATTATTTATTAAAAGCAAATCATTAGTAATTTTACTACTTCACTCTGTTATAAAAATAACAATATTTATTAGTATTACTTTGTATTAATTATTATATATTTCTTATTGTTTTATTTTTCTTCTATTTTTTAAATTTATTATTATTATTATTAAAACTTAATTAGTAGTTTTGTTACCCTATTTTTTAAGTAAAAATAACACTAATTATTATTTAAATTAAAACTTATTACTCTTATAATTAAAAACAATTGCTAGTACTTTTAGTACTCTAATTTTTTGTCATTCCAAGTTGTCTTTCTCATTAGTCATGTGGTGGTCAGCGATTGTCGCTCTGATAGTGGGTAATCTAGAAAATGAGAGGAGTTAGGATAAGAATAAGACGGGTAAATTTCTCAGGAATTTTTTATAAAAAATGTAAAACGATAAAAATGATGTTACATTTCATATTAATATAATGAATTAAGACATAAAATTATAACCAAGGGAATAGATATTTTTTTTATAAACGATACATAAATATATATTACTAAAAGTAATTTTTACTTAAAGCTTTAAAATATGTTAACCTCTTTTAAGCAAGTAAAAATTGGAAATTAGAAACGGGAAAGAAAGAAGAAGCGATAACAAAAATTAAAATTAATTTTTTCCCGTAATTTTTCGGATAATTAATGGAGACATGGAGTATATTTAAAAAAATAATGGGTTTATTAAGTACTCCCTCCGTCCCTGAGTGTTTGTCCACTTTCATTTTTGCACACTATCCAATGCACTTTTTAAATCCATTTTATCTTATAATTTGTATATTAAAAAATTATAAAAATTATATATTAATAATCTATATGTTAAGATTAATCAAACAAGATCACACATGACTATTTTTAAGCTTACACATTGAGAGAATTTGATGAGTTAAAGTGCTTATATAAACAGTTTCAAAAGTAAAAAGTGGACAAACAAGCTACTTTTTATGAAGTGTTGGGGGTTCTTTTTGCCGAACCTCCACGCTACAAGACAATACAAAAACTGAAAAACCCTACTGAGGTCAGCAAACAGTGAGACTCTGTGTGTTGCCACTTGCAAAAGCTAAATTCCCTTAATCAGTTATGGGGAAGAAGAGGAAGCATCTCTGGGAAAGAGAAACTGAAGAGCCTGAGCCTACAAGCTTTAGTTGTGAGTTTTTGTTTTCTAAAACTGTTCTCGAGGGAATGCCACACATCAGTTTTCTGTTTGTTTGTTTTTCCTTAAACATTCTACTCTATAAGTATAACACCATACCTTGCAGGTGAGAAGGAGTTGAAAAAATGTTCTGGTACTATTATTGAAGCTGATAATGATGTTGGGATTGTTTTGACTTCGGCCAACCTCATTCGGCGTCCTACGGATGAAGAATTTGTACAAAATGCATTGGCTGATGATCTCAAGGTTAGATTCTATAGAGCAAGTTATTTACTATTGGATTGAATTCTCTAACTAATCCTTTATAGCATGGGGGTTTTCTAATATAGTCTTCAATTCCAAATTATTCTCTTCGTTGTTCTTTATATTTGACAACTACTCCATAATGTCCTTTGGAATCTACATGTGGAACAAAATATTCACTTTGTCGTCCTCTATATTTGGAAACTTTTCTTCAAAAGTACTGATTATGGACTAGTTTGCAAATATGGAAGACCACAAAGAGAATTGTTTGGAATTTGGAATAGAGGACTGTATTGGGAACGCCTTGCTGTTATTAAGGGCAGTTTAGAAGATTCACTCTTATTGTTATGTATTGTTGACTTGTTGTGTGCATATTATATTTAGTGGCACTTTATTAGTGGCTTTGGTTGTGTGATCATGTTAGTAAGTGATCTCGGGTGCTAAACCTTAGGTGCCCACTAAGTGTAACATTGATTCAAAAACAGTAGGTAACCCGTAAGAGAGAAATATTTGGGGGTGTGATTTTAGATAAGTAATGTTTTGACTTTGGTCTGTACCCTAGAGTAAAAGTGTGACATTTGAAAAACCA